GACAGTTGATGATTCATCATAATTTTCAATTTCAAAAGTTTTTCATTACGTATGTTCTGTTTGCACTCACTCTAGAGGCTTCAAAATAAGCAACAGGAAGTTTATTATTAATGTTATGGTAACCACGTTTTGTCATACCAAAAGACATATTAATTAAATAACAAAAAGTAATAATTGCTATGTATCCTTGCCCAATATCTCGAAAAGTTAACACAGTACATAGGTTAATTTCTCTCATTTTTTACCTTTGATTACTTCATTTTTATTTTCTATTCATTTTGAAGTTAAAAAATGTATCGTCCATGTAAAATCTTGACAAGAAGTGTGAGAAAGAACCTCTTTTTGATTAATATCGTGTACAATATTGATTGAAGAATAACATTCTAGAGCATCTTTCAATTGCCTTCAACAAACTTGAAAATAAATATAAGTTTATAATTGTATTACACTCTTTTTCTATATTATAAAGTTTTCTAGATCTAGATAAGTTTTTTTTCCAGATACCGATTAACTTACATTGTTTGATGAATGTGCAGACAAAACAGTTTGTTGTAAAGCATGTGAATTATTTAGAGAATATTTTTTTAATTTATGAAGTTTTCTTTTTTTTTACTCTTGCTTTAGCATATCTATTTTTTTGAACGCATTTATAAGGAAACTTATCAAAAACAAAAAAACATTTGTTAAAGAGTAATTATCTATATCTTACAGAAACGAATATGAGGTTTTAATTTATGGATATTAGATCGAAAACCAACAAGAGTTCTTAAGGAACAATTTAGTCATAAGCACACACAAAAACTACATAAATTGGACATATATTTCTCAAGATATTGCAAGAAATATATCTCTAAGGGCCGTTGCTAGGGCACTTTATTTTCCAGTACCAAATCTATTAAGGATAATTTAGGCGTTTGAATTATTTATTTTTTAAATTTTTTTTATTATTTTAAGAGAAGATATAATAAATTAATGAAAATTGTAAAAACTGAAATTTTGAAAAAAAAAAATTTTTAGCCTGTCTTTTGGGGTACTACCACCTGTAGTACTACCGTTGGATACCAGATGATCCACGTTAGAATATATGCGCTTTTTACGGAATGGTTTAATGATGATATTATTATCCCATAATGAAGGGTTGAAAATTTTATCTTTTTCTGAATTACTTACGGAGACTCTATACGATCTGTTGAATTCGTTTTCTCTGTTTAAAGTAATTGATATAGGCGTAACACCTAATTCAGTTTCCATATACAATTTCATATGTTCTTCGTTGATTCGATTGCTAACACCACCTATAAAAACTTCACATCTACGAATTATTCGACTACCAGCAATAGTCTCATTTCCCGGAGTTTTCGTTCCAAATATAGGCTCCAATAACTTATGTTTTTTTTCTAAGGGTAGAATATTTGTTTGGTGGATAGGTTTATTATTTTTTCCAACTAAATTAAACTATTCGGATTATCATCAATATTTGAAGGTTTTTCTTTAAATTGGTTAGTTTTGTCTGAGGTTTGTTGTTTTTTGAGCCGCAACCTTTGCATATGTTTTGATATTATGCGATTGGCTTTCTGTATAAATGCTTACATTCGTTTTGCCGCAAGGTTGTTGAAAATTATCTTTTGCAGCATTTGCGGTGACATTAGAATTTTTATTTTCGTTTAGTGTGTGGTAATTAAAAAGCTTATTTTCGCATTGGGCATAATAATCGGATTTTAGGTTTTCCGTATTTGCATTTGATACTTTGGGGATACTTTTAAATAACTTACCGCAAGAGTTATTAACGTTTTGTGTATCTTCAGCGATAGATTTTGAGCACGTGTTTTTATCTACTATTTATGTTTTGCCTCGGTTGATTTTTAAGAAATAAAAGGTTATCGTTAGATACTATTAGGTCTTGAATAAGCTCATTTTGCATACTTATTTTTTCTTTTAACAAACCTAATTCTACTTTTATTTTTATATTTTCGTTTTGGATTGATTTTGAAATTTGTAATAAATCTTTTAATGATGAAGTCAGAAATTTATCGTCTAAGTGCGCAGTTTCTATATTCTTCCAAGAGATTAATGTCTTTAAAATTTCTTTGTGCAACTGATTTTCGCATAAAGTTATCGAGAAGATAAATATATCTTCTAAACATTTGGTTGTTTTGTACCGTTTACGAAGATTTTTTTCCATTGGATCTTCTGAGTCTAACGTTACGTTAATCTCTCTGAATTGTTCACTACTGAAGCTATCCAAAACTTCAAAAAACAAACGTTCACGGAGACTTATTACATTTTCTTTCATTGAGTTTAAATTGTGTATTATAATATCTTTTGGGTGCGAACATATTTCTTCTAAATTCTTCAAAAAGTTGCATTCGAATGTGTTCAAATCTGAGTTCAGATATACAAATATCTCACTAACTGTGCGTTGTGCCATGTCGTATTGAAGTGTTATTAGATAATTAGTTCCACTTTAACATTAATCTTCATTATAATAAATATTCATAAATAGTTTTTGATAAATATTTTTATTAATTTTTTTCTTCTCTTTAAACACGTCTTACTCAAACAATATGGTTTGGTAAATATGCGATCTTCTTCGGAGCAAACTTCAGTTTTTAGAATGAAAAACTGAAGTTTGAAACTGAAGTCCAAAAAAATAAAAGTTTGAGAGTGAAAAAAAGTTGAGAGAGTGAGAAGAAAAGAGAATGAAATGAGTTGAGTTGAGTTGAGAAATGAGTTGAGAAGAAAAGAGAGTGAAAAAAAGTTGAGAGAGAAAAAAAGTAGCTTAAAATACTTTTTTTTTCAAAAAAAAATTATTTTCATGTTTTGCATATGGTTTACAAAAAAAAAGTACTAGCCATCATCAAATTTTGAAAAAAAGTGAAAATCGACACACCCTAATATATATATATATATATATATATATATATATATATATATATATATATATATATATATATATATATATATATATATATATATATATATATATATATATATATATATATATATATATATATATATATATATATATATATATATATATATATATATATATATATATATATATATATATATATATGTATATATATATATATATATATATATATATATGTATTATATATATATATATATATATATATATATATATATATATATATATATATATATATATATATATATATATATATATTGACATTTATTCAGGCTTTCCGTGGAGACGCGTGCGGTTGCACGCCTTGAATGACAACGCATATTTTTTTGTTGATAAAGTTATCAACAAAAAAATATGCGTTTACTAATTTTTCATTAAGTTTTTGTTTACGAAATGAATTACGTCATTAAGTAACGGTTATTTCGCCAGCATGGTTTTAACTGAAACTTTTTATTTATAAAAAGTTTCAGTTAAAATAATATCTCCTAATATATATATTAGGAGAATAAAAAAAAAATCTTTTTTTTTTTTTGTGTATTAAAATTATTTAGATTATTATTTTTTTATTTGTTTATGTATTCTTATTTTGACATATAAAAGAAAATAAATAAATAAAAGTAAGAATCATTTAAATATTTTTATTTAGACATTAAAAAAAAAAAAAAAGATTTGAGAAAAAGCTTTTTTCCTAATATAAAAAAAATAAATAAGAACCTTTTATATTTTGTTTAAGTAAATCAAACCGTTTGTTTGGGGGGTCATCCATAAACACGTCCATAAAGCATATTTGTCCATTCTTAACTCTTTCCCTCAAGTCACAAACGATCACTTATACCCCTCATAAATGTTATAAAAAATCACTCAGAAAGAGTGCTACCAGTTTTTAAAAATATCTTTTGCTTATTGTTTTTAATGAATGAGTTTAATTCTTTTGTTACGTAACTCTATATATTAATAAAGTGATGTAACGTAAGGAAAATATACAGTATCAAAAAAACAAGTTTATTTTCCTTTGCCAGTCATCTCTGATAGTTTTTTATATATTTTTTAAATTTGTATAGAATTCTCAACATCTTGTAAACATTTTTCATACAAACTGCTTTGCTGATTCGTAGAAATCAGACCCAAAAGTTGAAGCAATTTTTTTACCTTGTTTTCCGTGCAACATAAGTTTAAGTGGCATTTTAAGCCACTTAAACTTAAGTTCGCTTTTTTTTTGGCCAGACTCAAAACCTTATAAGCTATGACCATATAAAGTTTGCAACCCCTTCAAATTGAGGAGGTTTAAACTTTACATGGTCATAATTTTAGAATACTAAATTATTTTACTATAAAATTTAAATTTTCTCGATGAATATTAGTCTAGTTAAAAATAGTACAAAAAATATTATATCAACTGATTGCTCTCACGTTTGGGGCAGGGGAGCACAATTTGTGGGGCTTTTTTGTTCCCAGGCTCCAATTATTGCAATTTTTTTGCAAAGCATCTTTATTTGAAATAGGTATAAACATATAAATGTTTGGAGTTTGCACAATGTCTGGAAGTTAGCTAACGTCAAGAACGGCACCGTCGGCGCTGCTTTGTAATTCAATATTGTGTAAAGTTCTTTTGACAATTTATTTATGAACATCAATTATTTTAACTAGTAGTAAGCAACCCGTAATACGGGTTGTTAGTAAATAAAATTAAAAAAAAAAAACGCGTATAGAAAAGCCTAGAAACTACTTTAAAATAAAAAAGCCTATAAAATGATTTAAGTCGACTATTAACTACTATTAAATTAGCGTATTAATATTATCAGATAATCGTGGTATCGGTGGCTGATAACATCCATTTATAAATTTTTTACAATTTTTATTAAAATACATTTCATTAAATTTATTAAAAGGAAAAAAAAAACTGTGATAAACCAACAAAAGAATAGTTACAATAGTCACAAGAAATAAGTTAAGAATAAGGTTATGTTAATTCATTATTAAAAATTTTAAACTTGATTAAGTATCAGATTGTTTAAGTTTAAGAAAAAAAAATTCAATTTTCAAAAAATATTCAAGACTTTTTTGCACTTACTTGTATTGTGGTTCTTTACAGTTAAGATTTCAGCGAGCTCAGGTTTTTTTATATCACAAAGTAAATCTTTAAAATTCTCTAATTTATCAATTCCAACATAGTCATTGTTTTCAAGGATTTCAATTAATTCAGTAGATAATGTTATCTTTATAAGTAAATCCGAACTAATTTTACCTTTAAGCAAAAATTTTAAATCTTTTATGTCTTCTTCAGTGAGCTTTTTTGAAATCTCTAGCATTTTACGTTTATAAGCTCTCTCATCCATTTTTGTTGGAAATAAAATCAATCAAATATTTTTTTCAAAAAAATTTGATAACAATTTTTCCTAATATTGTAAACTTCGATTAGCTTTCTATAAGTGATCCAAAAATTTAGCACTCTTTCATACAGTTTTGGTCACAACATATTCCATAACGTAAAGTTATACGTTGTTCACATACTGTAGACTTAAGTAGCATTTCTCATAACATCCGCCCACCCAATGTAGATCGCAATGATTTATTATACTTGCAGATATTCGATATAAACGATATAATGTTTTTATATAAACATAAATATTCTAGATCAATTATTTGATTGGTTGTTTTTTTTAACGCATGCGAGTTAACGCATGTTTACATTTGTTTTGCTCAATCGGAATATGAGTATATATATATACATATATATATATATATATATATATATATATATATATATATATATATATATATATATATATATATATATATATATATATATATATATATATATATATATATATATATATATATATATATATATATATATATATATATATATATATATATATATATATATATATGTATATATATATATATATATATATATATATATATATATATATATATTTTTTTTTTATTTTTTATACATTTTATTTATTTATTTATTTTTTGTAGAGCCGGAGACAGTTGCATTTTAAAAAAGGCTTTGTTTTTTGAAGCTTTAAAACTTTTTTTTAAAAGGTTTTTTGCGTAATAAATTTTGGCACATATTATCGAACTCATCAAAGCTAGGCAAATTAAAATCAATTGGCAATGTAAAGCTCATTAAACTAAACAATGTTTTTGACTTAAAAATAGACAATAAAATTGAAATTATCGATGTCACAAAATCGCTTAACAAATGGAAAGTTACACTCATTTTCCCAGCTATCATCCCATTCAATCCATAGTATTAATATTTCTCTTTCAGTAGAATACATAATATTAAATAAATTTTGTAATAAAAATATAAACAATGCAAATAAAATAATATTTATTGACAGATAGATAAACAAGATATAATAGGATTAGAAAACTTATCTGATGTTAGTTGATTACTCACGAAAAAAAAACCCGCCTAACTTTGTTTATTTTTCAATTCAAAATTTGTTTCGCTAAGAAAGTTGTTTTCATAAAATTTATTAAATATTTGGTTGGGACGTACAATATTTAAGTTCACGTAATTGTTTCAAAATGTAAAAAGTGTTTTATGCCTAAGAGCCGTTTTTTCTAAGAATCAGGCAAATTCCTGAAACTGTGGAAGGGACCTCCTCCAAATTGCTTGAACTTTTTAAAAAAATTTTAAAAATGATTCGTTCACTTGGAATCTGGGCTTAAATTTTTGAAAATTTTTAAAAAAATTTTATAAATTTAGTTTTTGCCACCTTTGAACCCATTTTTTGGCAGGGCAAAAGGTTGCATATAGCTTTTGTAGTTAATATCAGACGTAACCCGAAAGCTCTCCAAAAAATATAAAAAAATTTGGGCTCTCTTGTCAAACCCTTATTCCGACGTTGTCCTTAAAGTACGCGAAATGGCGAGTTCGCTTTAAAGATTTCGCTACGGAGTTTATTTTTAATTTTTTTTTTTTTAATTATTAAGATGCTGTAAAAAGTCCTAATGGTCTTGTCACCACCACAAGGAGAATAGCATTTAATAACTTGGCTTTGTTTTTTATTATATTTTATTTAATTATAAAATCAAATACTTATAATAAAAATAAAATATTTAGTATATAAAAGTTTTATAATTTGGTTATTTGGTTATGTTAAAATATTGTTTATTACGTACTTTGAATATTTTACTTTCTAATGGCGAAATTATATTTAGCAATGGTTCGAAGTGTCAGTAGGAGGTCATGCAAAAAATTTGCAGGGAAAATGTTTACTTAATGTTTACTTTAAAAATGTTTAGATTAAAAATGTATTATATACAATTGACATATGTAATGTGAGTTCGCCACAGAGCCATTTCCTCGATTACTCCGTGACTTTTTCAAAATTCCACCCAATTTCGCTGATTATTATTTTCAAAATTCAAGTTAATTTCACTCATTATTTTTATCAAAACTCAACTCAATTTCACTGAATTTTTTTCAAAAACTGAATACAGGTGCTCTACCGATTATTATCAATTTAAATATTAATTATTTATTAAATGATTAAAACAATATGAACGTATCATATATAACGTAAGTTTATTAAAAATTATTACAATTAACATTAAATATAGAATATATTTCCACAAAAAAATTATTTTTACCTTAATTATGATGAACTCAGTTTACTTTTTTAACTAATGGCTAATGATCAATATAGTAAATTTCAAATCATTAAAATTTACCAAATTAAAACCATATCTCAACAGTAGGTAGTTCAACCAAATTTAAAAAAAAATAGACTCTGAGAAAAAAAAGAAAAAAGAAAGAAAATATTAAAAGTAAAAAAACATATTTTGTTATTCATACATGTAAAAGTTTACTTATTTTTTAGTTATATTATTTATATAATTAACTATTAATTGATACACAAAAAATATTGTTTATATAATTAACTATTAATTGAAACACAAAAAATATTGTTAAAAATCAAGAAATATAAATATATTTCTTGGTTTTTAACAATATGACATAAAAAAAGAAGGCGTTTAAAGAAAGTCAACAGAAATAATGCTAAACATATCTTAACTAGACAATATTGGACTCCTACTTATATTAGGAACAATATAATGTAATAAGAATCATACCACAGGTTCCATTAAGTCTTAGGTAAAGTAGTAATTTAATTTATTTCAATAAACTAATAATAAAAATACTGACAGATCCACTCAAGCGCCTTGTCTAAACTTTATTAAAATGAAGACCTGAAATATTTCTAAAAAAAAGCTTGACTAAAAAAACCAACATACTAAAAGTCATACTATTGACTAACAATTGTTGTTATAAACTATTCTTTCTCTAGACAGTCTCACTAAAAAGTTAAACTTTTAAAGTTAAACTCTAACTTCTAATGTTAAACTCTAACTCTTTTAAAGTTATACTCTAACTTGAAATCAAACTTTTTTTAATATTAAATTTAACATATTTACAATGTTCATTTAAAAAAATTATTGAAAACTGTTTTTATCACTCTTAAAATTTTTTTGATCTTGAGCTTATTCTCTTCTGAAGTGTGACTGGACTATTGTCACCATCTGAAGTGTGACTGGACTATTGTCACCATCTGAAGTGTGACTGGACTATTGTCACCATCTGAAGTGTGACTGGACTATTGTCACCATCTGAAGTGTGACTGGACTATTGTCACCATCTGAAGTGTGACTGGACTATTGTCACCATCTGAAGTGTGACTGGACTATTGAAAGGTCCAAACCAGTGATTCTAATATTTGTTAGGGTTTTTAGGCCTCAAGTGTTTGGTTTGATATATGTAAAAAAAATAGACAAATCACATTGGTTCGAAAGAAATATTGTAAAAAGAATTGTCTAAAGGTGCATATTTCTCAATTATATCTTGTTCCTCATTTTCTTTTTTGAAAATTTCTATACTAGATGCAATTCTTTTTTTTTTCTGTCAAAATTCAAATTCTGCTGGTAAGTTTTGTTTTCAAAATTTTTGGTTTAGGTAATTTATCTGAAATTACACCTGCTCACCTTTTTTTATTAGTGACTTCATTACTTTCTAATGGGATGTTGTCATGTTTAAGGACAAGTGTTTGAAGATCATTAAAGATTTCTTGAAGTTTAAATTTTAATGGTTCAACCACATTCTCATCATAAATTAAGTAACTTAATGTTTTTATTTGAGAAAGGATATCTTTACATGATGATGCATTTGTTTGCTTAGGGTATATTTTATTCTGCACATTTTCCGAAACAACATGACCCTATGTCTCAGATGAGTTCAAAAAATATATAAATCAAAAAATGACTTCAAAACATATATTAAATTCTTCTTTATGACAGGATTCATTACCATAAATGACTGAATTATCCAAACAAAAGTATGGAGATGAAGTAACTATCTGGCAATAAATCCCAACTAACTCCATCGCAATGTTGAAAGATCGCTACCATATGTTTGCATAGCATCGATGTTTTCTTCCATTTTATGCATTGGCAATCAGTGAACTTAGTGTCTTGACCTCCAATAGTTTTTTAATAATCTAAGAAAAATCACAGAAACTGTATTGTACTTGAAAATCTGGAAAATACACCACATCTCTTATTTTAATTTTTGCAGGGCAGTTTCTTTTCTTTGTATCTTGGGATAAAAAAACCCTTTTAGCATACATGGTGGGACTATTAACAGTATCCTAAATGAAAGTTCACACACATAAAAACATTTAAAAAATTATATATTTATCAAGATAAGATTCCAATACATTATTTTTTTTTAGTTATTTTTATATCGATTAATGGGACATATTTTACTCACATCAAATTTTTTTTAAAGTGGTCAAAATAAATTTAAATTTAAATTAATTTGAATTTACATTTAAATTTCAAAATGTGTGAGTAAAGAGTTAAAGCTTTCGTTAAAAAAAGTTTCAATTTTTGTTGTTGTTCAATATTAACTTTTGTTAGTTCTATCTTGGGCAGATGTTAAATGCATCCAGCTGCTGTCTTGTAGAAGGCCTCCTAGGCAAAGACTTAAGGGGTAAACAGATTCTATCTTTTGACCAGCCTCGGACCCCTTCTCTATTTATTAGGCTGGCGCAGATGTATTTTTAATACATTGTTTCCAGTTTAGGATGTTGTAAGCTGGATCTTCTTGACTCGATGCATGAGTTTTGCTTGTGTCTCTGTTTTTATGACTTAGCAACTCATTCTCCAAATGAGGGTACAGCTCTAAAACTCAGTTTTATGGTTCTGAGGCCGGCTGGTGGTCAGGTTTCTCAAAGTCTGTGGTAGCTCTCAGAGAAGCTGATTCCATCAACAGCTGAAAAATATCAGAGTACTAACAGTGCCATGTTGCGCATGGATGGTGTCCCTGTTTGTATTTTTGGTATGCATTGCCAAGGCCACATTGAAGCCCTTTGTTACGGCTTAGAGTTTATTAGTGGAAATGAGGGGATTGCTTGGGCTATAAGACAGTGTACTGAGTACTATTTATGTTTCGAGTCAAGTTCTTTAACAAATTTAAAAATGAATAAAGTAACAAAAACTATAAAACACAAAAAATCACAGTCATCACCAAGTTCGCTAAACCTATCATTCACCAATATTCGTGGTCTT